GTTCTGCAGAAGGCGGTTTTTAGAGACAGCCATACGTGTTTAGCACTCAAAATGTTGTAGAAATGCAAACGACTATCACTGTACAACCACAAAGTATTGACAAGCTCAATGCAAATATTTTAAAGTTTATTTAAATCAGTATGAATAACTATTACAGATTTTTGCTACATTTCCACTTATTCCTCTGAAATCCACTTGTGTATAGCCTACCCTGGTTTATTAGTTATTTTATAACTACATCGAAACCGAATGTTTTTACAGTTCTATAGCGCCGATGGGCACAGGTATACAGTTTTGTGCACTAGTGGTGATTAGGCTACTGGGGACTCCTAAATATCAAATACAGCGGTCATGGACCACGGATTTGTTAAGATCTTGTTCAAAAATCTCTTACAATGTTACCACCTTCGTTTATAAGTAAATCTCTATGATTAATGCATTTCAAAAATCATCCGTTCTACGTTTAGCAGCAATTTACACCACTCCCCTTTTATTGTGGCCTAGGTTAAAATTAATTAGGTAAATATACATTAAAAATAGCTTCAATCGATATACAGTGTAACATGTTGTTAATTTATACGCCAGCGATTCTTCCTTTCCCCAATGATGTTTTGTGTTTTGTCAACAGTGGCCATCGTTGTGCCTTGTTCAATTAAGCAAATGGTCCTCAGCAAGCTGGGGTTATTTCGTTTATAGCCGCTCAACTCATTATAACGTTTAATTAGCTAAAATATATTATCCAATTACTGATCAAACGTTACAAGTTAATTATTTCAATTGACTTTGCGTTTAGATGTACTTTAGAGGAATCGTTTTGACGTAATATATCTTAGACCGATCGCGTTTGTTTTAAGCGTATGTTGCAGCAAACATCTCTGACTTTCATTTAACAGCAAAAATTTTGCTTGGAGTGTATTTTGCAATAAATTTTCCGACATTGTCTTAACCATCAATGTAAGCATCAATCATCTTTGCTTGTACTTAACAGCGAATGTGTAAACGTCAAGTGTTAGTGTTGTTAAGTTTCCCTTTAAAAAATCTTTCTCAATAAAGAATTTGTATTTCGTTAGTTTAAAAATTGCTTAGCCATCGTAAATACACATTATAGACGAATTATAATTATTAAACGCCATTTTATTCTATATTATAAAGTAGTTGACGAATCCTTGAATCCGAAAAATTGTTTGTATCGTATTTTTAAGAATGGATCATTGCAGATTCGATTTACTATAGCACACACTGTAACGGCGTTGCCGTTGTATGATGCTAAAATGAAAGAGCATTATATATATTCACCTATTAATGAACTTAGGTAAAAGCATTTGTTTTTCAACAAGCTTAAATTTATTAAGAAGTTTGTTTGATTTAATATTGGTCAACTCTTGGTTAAAAATATAGCAACAAATACAGACATCCCAGATGATCATGTCGCATAGGCAAGCTTGCCATTGGACACGTTTAGGGATAAGCACGGGAATCGATCCCTGAATAGCTCTAAGCGTGACAAGAATCCTGCGTTGGAGCTTACGTTGGATGTTGGATCACGTCGATCAAGTTGGTTGAAAAATAGGTCATCTTTGCAAATAGATCGGTACTAATTTAGCCCAAAGTCCCTGAAAACCCAATGAAATGGTTTGAGTCAGTGCTTCGAACCTAAGCAGACTGAAGAATAAAAATAAAACATGATCTAGGTATAGAGGTTTTACTTATGAAATATTTATAGCTTTCATTAAATAATACAAAATATAACTAAAGCAACATAACTAATGTAAATAAAGTAATGAAATACTACTTTCTGGCAACATGTTTGTTTATTTTCTTGTTTATCATTCCATTGAAACACCGACGCTTAGTTAATCTTAACATAACTACCGGGTGAGCATTGTAGATTTCCTAGCTTAGTTTGTGGTTATTCAGATACTAACACCCGCAACTTTGAAATCCAAACGACAATGCCTTGGCTCTGAATTTTCTAAAAGCCTACTGACATTTTAAAAACCAAACCGTTGATGGTAAGGGAATATGAGAGCCTCTAAAATGGCTTTACCTAACTAATGTATTAGGAGGATATAATCCATAATCAACACCAGTATTATGTACTATAAATATTAAAATTACATAACAGCTATAAATTATAGCACAATTAAGTATCAACTACAATACAGCCCTCAAATGTCTAAAACTTCAATATTTCCTTTTCAGATGCTTTGCACTTTGAATAACAATCGCGAAAACTTTTCAAACTCGTTCGAGTTGGCAGCTGTAAAAGTCCTGTTGAGACTGAGAAATTCTTTTTCTCGTTGTCCACGGATCTTTCGTTATTGTAACTGGCATATAAAATATAGAATTTACAGTTTTTAATACAGGGAATTCGCTTAAAATGAATATTCTATGGAAAATATACATTAAACTATCCCAATTACTCTCTCTGTATTCATCAATACTAAATCGGTTCCCAACTTCTTTATTGTGTGCAATTGTGCAGCAGAAAACTGTGACATTAGAACCATTTTGTCGTTTTTATTTTGTATAATATGTTGTGAGTTTTACATCAAAGTTGCTTAAATAATAGTTATGACATTTTAAATGTGTTTACTGCTGCGCAAATGTTTACCACTTCGTAAAGAAAATGCAAAAAGAGAAGAGTATTATCAAGTATCCAAACTGATCCAAAGTATCCAAAGCGTTAACTGTCCAAACGGCAATTTTAATGAGAAAAGTTTACCTCATTCTCTTTCAAGACTTAACAAAAAATAAATAAGTTATTTTTATACTGGTCTGTGTTTACATACATAAATTATTTTGCATATGCTTTACATTCGTCGAGTACCCGTTTACTGGTAATAATCATAGAAAACATATGTTTTGTTCAAGCCATTAAAATATTCGCAAATCTGGTTCAGTTATTATTATCGAATACAGTAATTATTTTATTTGCAAATAACTTATAAACATTTGTCGAATATTTGGTTAGCAATCAGAAATAGTTATTTGTGCAACTAGTGAGCAAAGGGAGCAATTGACTCACTCAAGAGAAATCCTTACTCACGAGCCGTAGGCGAGTGAGGAATGGTTTCTCGAGTGAGGCAATTGCACTTTGCACTCGAGTTGCACATTATATTTTTCCTACAGTTACCATAAAACAAATAAATTGGTAAAGAAACGTGACATATTTTTACACCAAAGTAAACTTTTAATATGGCATTTAATGTGAAGTGACAAATACAACAGTACAACAGCTGACCAGCTGATTTACAGCCAGTGCTGCCAACGTATTTTGCGCGCATACGACCTTGTCTGCATGTTACGCGCTCACTATTTCGTGCCTTCATGTTGCAAATCTGGAGTGAGACAAAGTAATTAGAGTGAGACAGTGTTAACATTGTCTCACTAATGAGCGAATTGGCCACTTTGCTTTCTCAAATCAGTGAGAGAACATGTACATTGTTAGGTAACTGTAGGAAAAAGTAATTGTTATTCAATTTTTTCTTGATGTTTTGATTTATTATTAGTGAAATATTTTTGTACCCAATTTCGTCCCATCTACATAACAAATCAAATGAAAGGTTATCACCAACTCAGAAACTTCCCACGTGAAAATTCTTCTCTGATTTCAATGAAGGATACTAACTTTATATTTTGGGTTTTGCATAATTTTTACTGTCATTTTTGTTTTTAAAACTTTTGACACTGCATGTTTCATAAAGTTTTTACCCATAATATTGTAAAACATTGTATAATATTGTACAACATTGTACAAAACATTGTATAATATTGTATTGAGAAATGTTGTAGCTATTTTTAATAGCAACAAATCTAGCAGATTTTGAGTACTTTATTTATAAGCAATAGAAATTTAATTAATACCGTGTTATCTTACATTCACAGTATAAAAGCTACTTACCGTATTTTAAACCACGATATCAGTTAAATTTTAGTTTTGGATCTTTTACCAACAACGCCTTAACAACCATTCTGTCAATGGATGTTTAAGACGTTTTGAAGTCAAGAGGAACTCTTAATTGGCCTGATAATGATTAGAGTGCTCCATCCGAAACGATTACCTCTTTTGATTTCTGTGTGAATTTACCTATTAAGACGGGTATTACGTTAAGTCAAATCAATAGCTATTACACCTTTTCAATTGTACTTCAATGAAATATTAGCTGTTAATTCTCTCGATAACGAAAATGTAAAGACATGTTTTTCTTGCATTTGTTTGGCTTTTGCCCATACAACGACATTAAAGTATTCTTTCTTATCTTGTCTTAATAATATTATAAATGTGAAAGTGTGGGATACTAAAAGAAATTGCACTTTTATGTTATATGGAGGTGTGTTTGGTTTTGCTTGTGTTACCTATTCAAAAGTTAATAGGGGGTGTCCATACTTTTGCCCAACCCTGTATGGAACCAGCTGTTTGAAAATGTTTTTTTTGGTGTTTTATTTACATTGTGGTAATTTGTGAGTTATTTAGTATAAAAGGAGTTATTTAGTATTTAAGGAAAGGTTGTCAAATTTATATAACTATATCTAGCTGTTACCCATGGGCTTCACCCCGTTTGACTTCATAAGTATTAATAAAACTATTGTTTGGCTAAGTTAAGCTGAAATAAACAAAACCGAATACAGTAATACAAACAAACAATCACACCTGATTTTAATAAGATAATACATTGAAATAATAACAAACAAATAAGTACAGCAGAGGTATTTTTAATATGGAAAGTCCCCTTTAGGCTGGAACTATACGGACGCTAAATGCGTCGCGTTAAATACGCTGCGCTATTTTTAATTTTGGATGGCAATGCAAGTCAATTTGAGCGACTATACGAGCGCAGTCTACGCGGCACGCTGCCCTCCAAACTCGGCGTCGACGCATTTTACGCGACCAGCCCTGGAAAAACGTTAGCAGCGCGACGTAGATAGCGCTGCGCAACGCTAGGGCCGGACTATACGGACGCTAGATGCGTGGCCCGCAGTCGCAGTCTTGAGTGAGTATGTGCTTCTGTGTGAGAGTCATCAACATGTTTGATACTGAGAAGTTCGTCTTAGAAGTAGAGAAGCGGCCTCCACTTTATGACGTTCAGTCAAAAGAATATTCAAACAGAAATGTTAAAGCTCAGTGCTGGATGGAGGTAGGAGCAGCTGTGCACGACAACTGGGAGGAAATGACTCCCCAAATGAAGGACGAAGCAGGTAACTAAGTTTGATATATTTATAAACAAAGGTGTAATGATGTAAACATATTTTTTTTTTGGTACTTTTTGGTTTTTTATGGGTACCCCAACGTCTATCCTGCCTTTTGGTCTTTTCCAAATACATCTCTAGTAGACACTGAAACCCTACAGCACCGATCTGCACTGCATCCATATTGGCAACTTGGAATAAAGTGATCTGGGAAGCAACGTGGCGGTTTCTGCGCTCGTATAGTCTGGCCAGCGGGGCGTTGACGCAAAAACAGCGCGACGCATTTTGCGTCCGTATAGTCTGGACTACTTATGCGCCGAACTTTGGCGTTAACGCGACGCATTAACGCGACGCATTTAGCGTCCGTATAGTACCAGCCAGGCCGCGGCTCCACTTGCCGTAGATTACCGCGCTGCAAATTGTAGCTGGTCAGTTGAGGAAATGGGAAGGCAGCGATCAAACGAAGGTGGCTCCACTAGCGACAGTCTGCAGCGCGCTACATTTTACGGCGCGCCGTTGAATGTAGCGTCGCGCGGGAATGGAACTCGGACCATTTTCGCGCTACATTTTGCAGCCAACAGGCGGCTCCACTAGCTGTAGATTGTAGTGCCGCGTCAAGTCAGTGTACGTAGAAGACACACGCTACAATCAGTATAGACCTTTTAGTGTCCTTATTTTATTTTTTTTTTTTTTTGTGGATTGGTTTGTAATCAATGGAGTCTGAACTGGACTGTGAAATTATTATATTAGAAATTATTAAATTATTACATTGGGAGTGTGGGAATCTTGTTTTATAGAGGTTGTGTAGGGGTTTCCTACTTTATATTATAAAGTAATACAGTAGTGATTGGAGAAACGAATACGCGAAAACATTCAATTTGTTTTTAAATGCAGCAGTCGTACAATTGTTACGATTATTAGCCCTATAAAAAGCTCCCAATGGCTGTTTTAGATTGTTATTAATAGGTACAACAAATATTCACGAAACTCATTGATGTTCACCTTACATTGGTTACTTAGAAATATTACTTCTGAGGGTAAATGAGTGTAATAAAATTCAAATAGAATAGAAATAGAGATAAAATGACCATTAAAGTAGAGTAATTTGACACACCAAGGATTGTTGAAGCGAGGGTTCACTGTTTAAAATTAATTAGTTAAAATTCAGTACACTAAAATTACCTTAATGTCACTGAAAGCCTTTCCTCTACTCCAATTGGTTCTCTTAGTTTGGGATCCTTCTTCTTCAAACGTGTTGATACGATACTGATTCTATTAAGTAATCAAATGAGTTTTGGGACATTCGATAATATTAAAAAAAACATGTCTGAACACTTTTGTAGTTTAGTATGCAATGTGTGGAACATCCCTTCGGACTTTCCGTTGCTTAATATTGGATGGATCCACCATTTTCCTGCTGTGATCGGCGTCGTCTTGATAAAGTACACTGATAACATCACTACGAATGTTAATTTGCGGCATGATCCAGGGTCACATTTACCTCCGCGCTACACTAAACTGCTAGTGGAGCCACCAACTGTAGCGTGTAGCGCGCTACAATTTGCAGCGCGACAATTTACGGCAAGTGGAGCCGCAGCCTTAGAAAGGAATTACGACCTTAAAGGGCAATTTATGAAATAATGGATAGTTTTGCGCAAGGTTTCTCGTCATGACGAACATTTGAAGTATATGGTTTATGAGGTTGTGACTTGTAGTTTTCTCAAAAGTTCATGGGTACTTTGGGCTTTATATATAAATTTGGCTTATAGTTTTTTGTGAAATCTAATAAAATAAGGGCTTGGTTGAAATTTTAAAGAATTAGGGTAAATCGCCTTCAACTTTTGAAACATCAATATCTAGTGATTGATTTTATTGCTAAACTACTGTATAATGTTCGATACTTTTTAATATATTGAATTCAAATATAAGTGGGGGGAATTGTAGGGTTGCACTTTTAAATAAAGTTTATTCCTTCAAATTAAATCATATAGTGTCAGTATTTTTTTAACACGCATTAGCGCCACGACTAGGTTACCTAATTAATTTGAACCCCTCAAATAAATGTAAACAAACTAACGTTATTACATTGTTTATTACACTAAATTTAAGTTTTATTTATAAAATGAATGAGTCGCTATTTCATGTTCTGTTTCGTGTCCAATTCCCATTGAAGCACGGATATAACAGCTAGTTACATTATAAACTTTTACACCTATTAATTCTTGTAACAAACTAGTTACTCAAGGGTAATGCTATTCAGTGTTTTATACGGCACTTTGCTAAGTCTGGTCATAATGTTCAGTTCGTGTAAACAACTGAAATGTAGTTTATGAAAATTGAAGTTGTTGAATGTGTTTTGGGTGGGGTGAGACCTGTAGAAGTGAAGTGGGTGGAAGAGGCGATATAAAAAGCGTATATAGCCTGATTCTCACCCATTTATCATTGGGTCGGGTGAGCTTCGAATTTGAGTAAACTGTATTACCACAAAGTTTAAATGTGTTTAATATTCTTAATATATTGACCGTGCAGTAAAACATTTTAATGTTTTGTATTGATTTAGTATTTTGGTCTACAGTTTATTAGAAACTCTTTTTCCCTTTTTCCTACAGGTACCTGACAAGGTACCTTGCACTGATTATGGCACACAAGGTAGCTAATTGCTGCATTTACTTACTTTTGCCGCACTCCAGTATTCCAACCAAACAGCAAAAGCAGTGTACTTTTATTAGGCACGTAATACATGTACGGTTAAAAATAAGTTGGCAACACTTGGCAATATGGCAATACTAATAGAGTAAACCATTACAGTATTCTATAGTCGGTGCTACTACGATCAGCTGGTGCAGTGTTTCCCCATTTCGTTCAACGTTTAGAATTTAACCTAACCTAAAAATGAGTTGTATAGTGTTTGAAAGACTTATTATCTATATGCTTTATAGTAACTATAGAAAATATATAATGTGTAACACGAGCGCAAAGTGCTACTTCGCACACTAGTTTCGTAAATAATATTGCACTAATAGAACCAATAACTACCTTTGCTACCGTTATCTATGATAGTAATCTATACGTGTATTTGGTAGAATGATTACGTGCCGGAAGCGACCGTGCCAGAAGCGACCCAGCAAATATCGTGCCAGAAGCGACCCTGGTAGTAGCGTGAGTGCCACTAGCGACCCATTGTTTGATAATTGATTTTGTTTGATTTTACAATGTTTTGTTCAAATCGGTGTTAATGGCTTATAAACAAATCCTATTCTTGTTATAGTAATACTAGCTGACCCGGCGAACTTCGTATCGCCTAAGTTATAGGTTTCCCCTAAGTCAGACCGATGGAAAGAAAGTACCGTTACGTTTAATTTTCAAGATGATCTCGTTCGCATCGCTCAATCACGTCCTGGTTGAAGTTCGTTCGCTACGCTCACTCACCTTTGGGTTGGAGCTCGTTCGCTACGCTCACCTACCTTTAGGTTGGAGCTCGTTTGCTGCGCTCACTTGCCTTCAGGATAGCTCGTTCGCTACGCTCACTCGCCTCTCTCGTTCGCATCGCTCAATCACGTCCTGGTTGAAGTTCGTTCGCTACGCTCACTCACCTTTGGGTTGGAGCTCGTTCGCTACGCTCACTCACCTTTAGGTTGGAGCTCGTTCGCTGCGCTCACTTGCCTTCAGGTTAGCTCGTTCGCTACGCTCACTCGCCTCCAGGTTGAAGTTCGTTCGCTACGCTCACTCACCTTTTGGTTGCAAATTAGCTGTTGTCATAAATGTAAAAGGAATAATAGTGCTGCACCCTGTTGGTAATCCTTGTAACTTTAATGCTATTGAACATCATAGAACAGAACCAACTTGTTTAATTGAAACAGCTGTTAAGATTCATTAATTCCATTTCTCATAAGGTTAACATGGGAAACTCCAGAGCCACTGGGGCGGAGCCCTTTTAAGAATTTCGAAACGGGAAATAGTTTACGTCCGATTCGCATACCTACAGAATTTACACACCAAATTTCATAACGATCGGTGAAGTCGTTCCGGAGGAGTTTGCAGACAAACACTGTGACACGAGAATTTTATATATTAGAAGATGTACCCCCTGGAAGAGCCCAATATTCACCTAAAGAGCTATTTTAGCATCTCTAGTTTCCAGCTGCTAGCATAGGCTCAAGTTATGTGTGCTAACTTAATCAAACAGTTTTTCTTGAATTTTAATAATTTTATAAGAGCCAATATAACAATTACCTTACCTTTTCTTTATTTTTCAATTTATTATCTAAATATGTAAATATGAGATGGTGGATGTGTGTTTGTTTGTATCCAAGACAAACCAGTATCCATTTATCCATGTATCCATTTATATGGCACATATAAATTCGTCTTAGCAGGTGAATCGCACGGGAACCATTCAAAAGATTTAAATAAAACTTCACATGGAGGTAGTTTATCAAATATACCCCCGCCGCAGCAAACCTGCGGTGACTAAATGAATTTCCATTTGTCTGAATTGATTTTCAATTAAATTTATTTAAATAACATTAGTTTCTAGGTATGAGTATTGCTGCTACAAGGAAACTAATAAAGTGTGTTTTTTTAGTAAAATATAAAATAGCTTAGTATAAAATAAATATACATGCCAAGTTTGATCAAAATATATGCATAAACAAGCAAATTACAACATTTTACAATATTCTCCACAAGAATAACAAGGAAGTTTTAAATTTACAATTTTTTTAATTTTCTCCGTTACTAATAACCGTACAAAGACACTTTGATATACTAAATCATTTTTCTTTTTTTAGCTATTTAAAAAGATTTAGAGAGAAATTGGGTAATTTTGTGTTTTGAGGGTCAAAAATGAGAAAAACCACTTTTTACTGCATAAAACCAAACTCCCATGGTCCCATCATGCTGGTTCGCGAACTCATTCAAGTCTATCCCGCCTTACACGTTTAAACCAAAATTCATCAAAATTGGACAAAAATTACTCAAGTTATCGCGTTTGCGGACATGTATAAAAC